TAGCTTAGTAACAGAGTACACGGAAAGAACAAGATGACACTGGATACCATCTCAGATTATACTCACTGACATCTGAGGTGAAAAAAATTTCAGATGGTAGCTAGTATAATCCAGATTATACTGAATAATATCTGGATTATACTCATTGTAATCTAGATTATACTTATTGTTATCTGGATTATACTAGCTACTATCTGAATTTTTTTTCACTCAGTATAATCTGGGATTATATCCAGTATAATCTTGTTCTTTCCGTGCATATAAATATAATATTTCTGAAAGTTATTGTTATAAAAAGAAGAAATTCAGATAAAATTTTTTTGGAAGAATTTTGCAGAATATCGCGTAAAAATTCATAAAAATTTTATAAAAATTGATGGAAGTTCTTAATAATTCATTTATTTGATAAAAATTCTAATGGAGATCTCATTAAAACTCATTCTCTAAATCGGACCTCAATAACTTCTTACTTTTTAAAATTATTCTTTTTCAAACCATCAAATTAATAAAATTCATTGTACACATGATAAGCGATTAATTAAATTTCGTCATAACTGAGAATGCAATTATCAAATATTTTGTGGTGCTTGCATCAAACCAGAGACAAATACCCACCTCATGATAATTCAATTCGTTTCATTTATCATCCTGATATTTAATATACATTTGTTTGCGCAACATGTGTCCGACATTTTATAACAAAGTTCTGTGATATTAAATACCATTTTTTAATAACGTTTGTTTATTTTCGTGAAATTTAATCCTTTCAGTTTTGACTCCGCATTAATATTAATTTTCAAAGGACTATTGTAAATTATAATTAAACTTCCGGATTTACACATGTTCAATTTTTGTTTTTTTTAAAGGTCAAAATTTTATAAATGAATTTTAAATAGAATTACGTAAAATGTGAATAAGAGAACATTTTTATTCTAAAAATAATAAGTAATAAAAAGCGAAACGGGTATAACTAGAATAAGTAAAGTAGTTACGTAAATAAAAATAAAATAAGCATTCTTATTTCACGGGTACTTGGGTACTAATTACCCCACGTGCACGCAGTTTTGTTTTAAATAAAATTAAAATGAACAAACAAACGGCAAACAGCGTGAAAGAAAACCGCGAGTGTAAAAGATGAAGGAGAAATAAAGAAAAAAAATTTTTTTTTCTTTCTTTATAAAAAACGATACGTGGGTGTTAGTTTATTATTATTATTATTATTATTTATAAATAAAACTTGAAAAAAAATTTTTATCACAAATATTTATTATTAAGGGTGTGGGTAATTGTTGACGTCGACTTGATTTCTTTTACACCGCATTCGAGGTGGTTGTTTCGCCATTTTCGGGATTTTTAAAACAAATTATCTCAAAAAATGTCAATAATTAAAAAATTACCTTGTATCTTGAGATTTATTGACATTTTTTAAGATATAAGCTCATCCTGATGTTACACTCATCAAGACTTTTCATTTGAGTACCCACATCAAACCATATTTATAAAATATATCAAAAATTCATGTGGGTACTCAAATGAAAGCTCTTGATGAGTGTAACATTAAAATAAGTTTATATCTTAAAAAATGTCAATAATTATGAAATGACATTGTATTTTGTGAACTATTGACATTTTTAAAGATATAAGCTCATCCTGATGTTACACTCATCGAGACCTTTCATTTGACTACACACATCAATTTTTCATATATTTATATATTTTTTATATATTATATATATGTATATATGAAAAATATATCAAAAATGCATGTGGGTACTCAAATGAAAGCTCTTGATGAGCATAACATCGGGATGAGCTCATATCTTTAAAAATGTCAATAGTTAAAAAAGTACAGTGCAATTTAACAAAAGTCATTATTTAATAAAACAAAATTTTATTTATTTATAGTTCACTAATTACGGCAGTCACATAGTGACTGCAAGGTTGATAGTCATTTATTAACTGTTAATAAATATTTATAAAATCCTATCTTAGTTTATTAAATATAAACAAATTCCTTCTTTAGTACACGTTCTGTCTAATACAAGATTAAACAATCTTGAAGAATATATATTTATAACTAGGTAAAAAACAATTCTCTTTATAGTATTAAAGTTTCTTATGAGAGTAATCTAGACCCTCTGATGTATTCCGTTAAAAAAGCAGTGACCTCTTGATCCAAGAGTGTAATGCGGGCTTATATCTTTTATTACCCAAATAAAATCTTACTGATGGTTTTTTTTTTCGATTTATCTTCTCAGACTTAATTTTTGTACCATCTCTGATGATTGATATTTTAAAAATTTACTGCTAAAATAAAGCAAACAAGATAATTTCAAGATATTGAGGGAAAATAAAGTAGCGGCGCAATAAGACAGTAAAGTTAAATGACTCAAGCCATAACTCGCAATTGAACTTTAAATTAAATAAGCTCGACAGATATTTGAGTTTTAATATTGTTATTATGCAGAGCTTTATTTTAAGAATAAATATATTTTAATTAACAGTGTTTATTTTATTAAATCCGGTCAATCAGCGCGATATTGTCATATCAATCGTTCATCAAGTTAATAACAATTATAATTAAGCTGATCAGCGCTAATTATTATTGAATAAGAGTATTAAATTCATTAATACTTGTTAATTATTTTTTAGTCAAAGTCAATTGAAAGAGTTTTTTTTTTAAAAAGATACTTTATTAAAATAGTTTTTTTTATTTTTTTCTTTGGAATACTTTGACGGGATAACACGAGCTAGTGACATGAGATAATTTAATCCCCTGCAAAATGGTATAATGCTCGTCATTTGTAACTCGATATCGTCCTTTGATCTTTCATCACACGTTAAATAATCCGTGACAATATTTCTGAGATAAAAGATACTTTATAACTTTAGATTTTAATGATCTATAATCTGTTGGAATTTTTTCAGATTAACCTGAATAATTTTAAAAAGTAGAAAGTTATTGAGGTCCGATTTAATGAGCTATTAATCAGGTATCGAGGTTTTGAGCTCCTAAGAAGCCGATCCGACTAACTAAATCTAAATAAATCATCTGTTGAAAGTATCTACAGAGAATAAATAATTACTAGCAATTTAATTAACAAAAGCAATAATTCGTCGAAATAAAATATATGTGTTTATAAAAATTGAAAAAATTCATGGATTATTTGCTCTCAACACCTACGTACATTGTGATTCACTTTTATGATTTATTTGCTGGGTAATGAAGAAATATAATCAATTTACTGCCTTTTTTTTCTCCAAAAATACATCCTGATTTATAAGATTAATTATTTTCTATTTTTTATAGAAAGTGGGGAGAGAAAAATAAAGTTTTACTCGCCCTGGTGGGCAAGTACAATGCAAATATATGTCAAACATATCAAAGTTTGATATCTGAATACAAAATTATATTGAAAGGCCATTATTCGGCTGATAAACACTTTCTGGTGTGAATTTATCAAAAGGCCGAGTTCAACGATTGTCATAACTAGTAACTGTTTTTTAACTTCATGGATTGAAAAAGAATAATTTTGAAAAGTAGGAGGTTATTGAGGTCCGATTTGGAGAATGAGTTTTTAATCAGATCTCCAGGTTTTGAGCGACTAGGAAGCCGATCCGACTATTCCCGGCTGGACGTCCGGTCGTGTGTAAACATGTAAATAAAATTTATCGTAGGATATCTTCAGGAGGAATCGAACCTTCTCGAGATGAGCTCCACGGCCTTCGAAAGTGTTAATTGAGACTTCGATCTGATTAGATTTTAAAGTCAATCGTACTTTGCCCGAGAAAAAGATATCAAAAACAAATAAATCACCAACAAAATACAATTGTTTTTTAACTTTTGTTCTAAATAACTTTATAAATATTTGACTAATCAACGTCTAGACAGAGACACTTTTTTTGGACTTAAAAAACTAAGTCTACCGCCAAGCAAGTCTAAATCTAACGACAAGTTCAAAAATTCTAGCCAATTTTTAAATTCTACTCCTTTTTTTGAGATAACTTTTAAATTGTTCGATCCATCTTTTCAACAGCTTAAAAACTATTTTAGTACTTAAAAAATAGCGTCGAATGCCGGCAAGCAAATCAAAATCGAGCTTAAAAAAAGTTACAGCCATTTAAAAATTTCTCAATCCTTTTTTTGATATAAATTTATAATTTTTTCCTGAAAAATCAATCGAAAGATTTTCGATAAATTTTAACCAATTTAAAGAAATTCTTCAAGACATTTTGCTACTTAAATTTATATATTTCTAAACAGTAAATACCTCCTTGCTGCCCTCGTGCGTCAGCACACACTCTCTGCTCGTTGCGCCAATCTTCCCACCCAGTGCATAGTTAAAAATATCTTCAACAGGTGGCGTTGCATTTTCTATAAAAATTTCTTGTAAATTTCTTCACTTAAAACACTCGAAGAGCTGAAAAATATTAGTAATAATCTTATAATATATATAGTGACATATTTTTGTACTTAAAAAATTATTAAATATTTTTTTTAATATAAATTTTGAATTTTTGGCTCAAAAATCATCCAATTAATTTTTTTTTTTTTTAAAGTGGAAATTTCTAATTTAAGAATCTTTTATTACTTATTCCGTCGGGAAGTCAAAGAAATTAAAATAATCTAATAAATAAATATTAAAAGCATTATTAAAGTTAAATATAATCCTTAGTGGTGTATATGGTCACTCATTTCTTATCTTGGCGAAGCCATTTGCCCCTTCAGCCCTTAAGGCAAGTCTACTGGCAAACAATATAATATAATATAATATAAGTAAAATCCGACTTTTATTCCGTGTACTTTCTGGATAATGTCGAGTATAACTTAACTTCAATAGCGGTATTTTATTATTTATTAACTCTTTTAACGGCCCGATAAAACAAACTTATACTTTTGGAAAATAACTTTATTTAATCAACCGGGCTTATTAAAACTTATTCTCTCTAATAAATATTTTTTATTTTTCAGATCCCGGCACTAAACAAGAGCCATCAAAATGCAGAAACAATTAACATTGGTATTGTTCATCTTCGCCACTGTAACTGTAATTACAGTTATCGATTCTATAGAAGCTGCACCTTTCTCTCCGTAAGTTTTAATTTTTTTTTTAGTGCTACTCTGAATAAAAAACTAAATTTTTAATAATACTTTATTAACTGTATGATGATTTATAGAGGGTCAGAATTACACTCGGTAATTGACTAATTGGCTTTTTAGCAACAAACTCGTTAAAGAAATTACAAAGCGCCAATTAAAATAACTCGCCACTAGATTTTTTTTTCCATTTCGCTAATTGAAATTCATATGATAAATCCATTATCATTATTATTTAATTACTTGGTAACATTGTAAAAAAATATTTAAATTAATTATTTTATTTATTTTTTTTCGTTTTTTTTTCAGAGAACGACAACTTTATTTGGACCAATTAGAAGAAGATCCTCAGTCATTTTACGAATTGGTCGCGCAGTATAACAAACTAAAAGAATTGGAAAAGTGAGTTGTCTATTTTTTTATATATATGTTACTGAAATTAAAAATTTTTTTAATAAATAAAATAGAGTAAAAAATTTAGGAGTAATATATTTAGATACATAATTAAGAAATTACTTTGTATTTTGAGAATTATTGACATTTTTAATGATATAAGCTCATCCCGATGTTACACTCATCAAGACCTTTCATTTGAGTATCGACATCAATTTTTCATATATTTTATATATTTATATATTTCACAAATACCATATATATGAAATATATATAAAATGTCATGTGGGTATACTCAAATGAAAGGTCTCGATGAGTGTAACATGAATATGAGTTTATATCTTAAAAAATATCAATAATTAAGAAATTACATTGCATCTTGTGAAATATTGACATTGTTAAAGATATAAGCTCATCCTGAGATTACACTCATCGAGACCTTTCATTTGAATACCAACATCAATTTTTCATATATTTTATATATTTATATATATTATATATATGTATATATGAAAAATATATCAAAGATGCAAGTGGGAACTCAAATGAAAGCTCTTGATGAGTGTAACATCAAAATGAGCTTATATCTTTAAAATATATAATATATATATGTATATATGAAAAATATATCAAAAATGCATGTGGGTACTCAAATGAAAGCTCTTGATGAGTGTAACATCGGGATGAGCTTATATCTTTAAAAACGTCAATAATTAAGAAATTACAGTGCAATTTAATAATTGTCATTATTTAATAAAGCAGAATTTAATATATACTAGTCGCTAGTATATATTACTGGCATTTGAAAATTTTTGTAACCAATAAAATAGAGTAAAATTATTAAAATAATTTTTTTTTAAGATTTAAAAAATTAAAAAATAATTGTCTGATAATTTCAATGGAATATTTTAATATTACTTATCTTTATTTCAGCAAACGGGCTTACGGACTTGATTTTGGACTGAGCCGCGGATTCAGCGGATCCCAAACCGCAAAACATTTGATGGGTATGGCAGCTGCCAATTATGCAAATGGACCCGGACGGAGGCGTCGATCCGAGCAGGCGTAAATTTAATCACCACAATATTACCTTAAATGTGAAAAAAATTTTAAAAATTAACGCTTATGCACCTTAAAAAAAAAAAAAAAAAATAAAAAAAAAAAAAAACAGAACAAAATACCTCATTTTTTGTGAGATTGAAATCAAGAAATTTAAGAATTTTTTTAATTTTTATCAAAAAAATTTAAAAAATTCTAAAATGTCAGCTGATTTTACTATCACAATTTTTTTAGCTCTCTATATTTATTTCTTCTTGTCTAGAGTGTATTTGTTAGCATAAAAGAAACAAATAATCAAAAATAAAGCACATATTAATTAATATTTATCAAAAGCACCGTTGAAATGTCAAATTTGTCTAGTTCGACATTGTACACTTTAGAATTGTAGATTATTTTAGATTTTATGTTACTGCAATAAATTATTTTTAATTAATTAAAATTATTTTTCCCGTAAAAAACAGTATTATTATATTTTATAATAAATATCTAGTGCATTGCTCATATATATTATTATTATTTTTATTTATTTTATAAATTGTTATGACCTATCTGTATTTATTAAAGCAATGAGTAATAAAAAATGTAGGCATAGTAATAAATAAAACTTTAAATCTCGACGGAATTATTTGAATGTCATAAAATATTTTAACGTGCGCTCTATGTACCATATTAATGTCAACCTCTAATATATTATATTGTATCTGTATCTAATAAATGTTACACTTTAATCCAGTGCTATAATACTGTCTATTTCTTCACAAGCCGCCATTTTGTTTATTATAACCTACTGAAGTTAGCCAAAACAGCTGTTAAATTTTTAAATTCTTATAAAAAATTACTTTTAAAAATGTTCTCTAATTATTTTTTTAATTTTTATTTTTTAGAATTTTTTTATTAAATTATTTTAATAATTTTATTACTATAAAATTATTAAAAAGAAATTTTTAATGTCAGTTTTAATTTCAGTTTCTTTTTTATTTATTCTGAAGTTAGCTAACAGCTGTCAAATTTTAAAATTCTCAAAAAAAAATTAATAAAAATACTTAAAAAAATTATCACTAATTAATTGTTTTTTAATTTTTAAATCTAGAATTTTTATTATTAAATTATTTTAATAATTTTATTGCTATAAAATTATTTAAAAAAAATTTTTAATGTCAGTTAACTTCAGTGTCTTTTTTTGTTAACTGTCAAATTTTTCAATTTAAAAAAAAAACATTAATTAGAATAATAGAACTACTTTAATAAATTGTCACTGATAAATTTTTCTTTTCAATTTTTTTATTGAATTATTTTAATAATTTTGTTGCAATAGTAATAGTATAATTGAAAAAAAAAAAATTTAAGGTTAGTTAACTTCAGTGTCTTTTTTATTTATCCTGAAGTTAGCTAACAGCTGTCAAATTTTGAAATTCTCTAAACAAATAAATAAAAATGCATAACAATAGCAGCCGACATTGTTAATTTTTTTATTTTGCTCAATTTACCAAATTATAATTAAAAAATATTATTAAAAAATTGCACTAAAATCTTTGAAGTTTTTAACAAAAAAAATTTTTTTTTTTTAATCTTTAATAAAAAAAATCATAAATTTTTTTTTATTTTTACATCTTGAATTTATTTATAAAAAAATTTTTAATGTCTGTCATTTTTATTTATTTATTTAATAAATATTTAAAAAAAAAAGGGTGAAATAGAACATGTATACGTTACTGGTCATAACTATGACATTTCAGTCCAACGTGATGTCGCGAATCAGCTGATTGTGTTTAGTTTGTCTTCCACAATAACAATTAATCTTAGAATAAAAAATATTTTAAATAAATCTTAACAATGAATTTTAATTAAGTACCTGTCAAAATAATCTAAAGTGCCAAAAAATTACGTAAGTATTTTTGACATTTATTTTTATGTAAAATAAACAATTATTTAAGTGTAAAAGGTAATAAAAATTTTTTATTAATTAGGATAATGGAGTTTACTAGAAGCTTTTGGGTACAAAGTTGCAGCTCAGGAAGACGAGGAGTGTGTTCAACAGTAATAATCCTTGGATTATTGATAAGCTCGGCATTGCTGGCCTACACCGCGTTCGGACCCAAGAAAGACAATCGTTCTATTCGCCAGATAGCTATTGTAAGTTATTTTAAGCGAGTTATTTTAATTTTAATTTTGATATAAACTAACCTCTATTGGCTAAGATTTTTAGACATGGAGACAGAAATCCTACTGAGACTTATCCGAATGATCCGTACTTGAACTACAGCTGGGAAGACGGCTGGGGAGCTTTGACTAGGGTATGTAATTAAATCTATATTATTAAAAGAATAAGCAAAATTTTGTAGTTAGTGTATTTATATGATGAAATGACCTTGTATCTTGTGAACTATTGACATTTTTTAAAGATGTAAGCTCATCCTGATGTTACACTCATCAAGACCTTTCATTTGAGTACCCACATCAATTTTTCATATATTTTATATATTTATATATTTCATAAATACTATATATATAAAATATATAAAAATGGCTTGTGGGTACTCAAATGAAAGGTCTCGATGAGTGTAACATTAAAATGATTTTATATCTTAGAAAATGTCATTAAATTAAGAAATGACATTGTATTGTGAGAACTATTGACATTTTTAAAGATATAAGCTCATTCTCATGTTAGACTCATCGAGACTTTGTATTTGAGTACCCACATCAATTTTTCATATATTTTATATATTTATATATATAACATTTTTCATATATTTTATATATTTATATATAAGGGTACTCAAATGAAAGGTCTCGGTGAGTGTAACATCAGAATGAGCTTATATCTTTAAAAATGTCAATAATTAAGAAATGACCTTGTATTTTGATAACTATTGACATTTTTAAAGATATAAGCTCATCCCGATGTTACACTCATCAGACCCTTTCATTTGAATACCC